TTTTAATTGGTTATTCAGCCGGACATTACCAGGCATTCATAAATTCTGAGCTTGATGAAACAATGATGAGGACAAATACGAAAATAAAAATTAGAAACTTACGATTGTCTTTTATTTATTTTGCTTATTTTATGAAAAAGAAATGTTTTATCGTAAGAATAAACAAATTAGTTCTGGGCGTGCAATGCTTGCACTCATGAAGCCACGAGGAGGTTTTTAATGCAATATATGGTCTTATAAGCAATAATATTTTCAATGTATAATACTATAAATTTGAAGAAATTATGTCATATACCATAAAATCTTACACTTTAATATTATATATAAATTATATATATTACTATAAATTTGATCATCAAAACATCACTGAAACTTTATATTCGCTTCAAATATTTTGTTCTTACCTCAACAAAAAAAAAAAAAAAAAAAAAAAAAAAAATCCAAAAACAATCCAGAAGAGCCACATAGAAGGATTACTCATTCATTTGTAGGGCCCGTTTGGGGCGGCTTATAAATGCCGGGGTGTTTTTTAAAACGCCATGACAATGTTTAGATCGCGTGTTTTGCCCGTTTATCCGAAAACGCAGTTCTATTTTTATACTAAACGCAGGCCACAGGTCAAACCCCGCAGTCCACCGGCGGGTCGCATTTCAAGATAAGTTGCTTATCCTAAAAAACACAAGCTACCGCAAACACACCCTTAATGATACTATTTATGTGATCCACATTAAAATTGATATCGATACATGTAAAGAGTACACGTACAATTGCAATTACTTGTTACACTTAACACTAATCAGATGATTCTACCAGCAGCCGACGTTGTAAGCTCCTGAGATCAAAATCTCTGCTCCTGCTGCATTTACACTCTTCCTTATAAAATTTCTACGAAAATATTGATTTGATATTTGTTTTAGGAAAAGTTGAGCGAATGCGGATAGAACAGATGGGGGAGAAAAAACTTGTGCAAGCAGGCTCCGCAGCTCAGCGCATTGGTTTAATTATTCACTACCGACCACCATATATTTGAATTAAGTAGCAAACATGCTTAACATCAGAGCCCCACAGTTTCTCTAAAGCTGGAAACTTTCAACATCAACATGCTTTTGAATTTCGCTTGTCAATCTTAAGAAAAGATTTATTATTATTATTGATATATGTATGTGTACATGTAAGAGTGTGTGTGTGTGTGCATGTATGTATGTATTTAAAAAAAATAATACATCTGGACTCAATGTGGAGATTTGATTCATCTCCTCGTCCGCTGCATTCGGGCCGTTATTCGTATATACGTAGTCCGGATGTAATATTTTTTCTATGTATGTATGTATAACTCTGTGATATGGATCACATCATAAAAATGAAATTAGAAATTCAATTTGGGCAAAAAAGGAAAAAAAACTGCATGCTAAAACACCATACAGAAATTTTTGTCCATCCAGACCCATACAAAACAGCTATAGACAAACATCTGAACAGCCAAATACCAAGCAGCATTTTTTTATTCATTAAATAATAAGGAAAACAATCTCTCTCTCTCTCTCTCTCTCTTTCTCTCTCTCTCTACCTCTGTGTGAGATATGCGCGAACAAGTATTCCCCACTAAAACCAAGGAGTGACATTCCTTGCAGCAGCTAGCAAGATTTAATAATAGATCTGCTCCTGTATTACACAACTCTCGAAAGTCCCTCTGCATGGATGCTGCTCAATGGACTCCGCAGGTAAGTAGTCACAAACTTAAAGCTAGATCTGATCTGCATCTCTTGATCTCTCCTTCACCATAAAAATTTCATCTTTCAGCCACTTCTAATGTTTCATGCCATCAAAATTGATTCTTTTTGATCTCTAGATGGTGGAAGGAAGCATGGATTCATTTCAACTTTACCAATCCCTCCTCCATGACCAGTTTCAACCCCCCTTTCATCCGTACCTCTCTCTCTCTCTCTCGGCCTCCCTTCCCACTCTTTTATTTTCATTTGCTTTTAAACCTGCTCCCCATTCAAGCCCTTTAATCCATTAAAGCAACTCACTTTTCTTTTCCATTAGCTTTTTTTCCTTCTTTCTCTTCCATCTCATCTTTTAAGCTTTTTTGAAAAAAGCAAGGTGTGGCATGAAAAGGGTAGTATATAGCTAGTCTTGTTCTTTTGATGTGCAAAGCTAAAGAGTAAAGACATACCTACATCTCTTTCATCTTTATCCTGTTCTCCTTTATATAACTTGTACATGTACTTTAATGTCATCAGGGAATAGGAGTTGTGAATGAAGTAGAGATCAGCAGCACAAGGGAGCCACAAGTCCAAGCTGAGAAGAGAGTCAGGCCTTACAAAGAGCAATCCCTACACTGTCCCAGATGCAATTCAACAAACACAAAGTTTTGTTATTACAACAATTACAGCCTCACCCAGCCAAGATATTTCTGCAAAACTTGTAGGAGGTATTGGACTGAGGGTGGATCCTTAAGAAATGTGCCGGTGGGTGGTGGCTCGAGGAAGAATAAAAGATCTTCAACTTCTTCTTTGGCTAATTCATCATCTCTAACCAGTACTACAACGACAACATCATTGGTTTATTCTTCTTCAACAAATCCTCAGCCTGCTGATGAACATATTCCCACTGTTCAAATCCCTCTTGCAAACTCAAAACTTTTCCAAGTATCGGGTCAAGATCTCAACCTTTCTTTTCCAAACCAAACCATGGCTCATCATGATCAGTTTGGTTCTATCTCTGCTCTGGAGCTTCTGCGCAGTGGGATCTCTGCAAGAGGATTCACATCATTCACAGCAGCTCAAGGATCTTCATTTGAAGCTAGGTTTGGGTTTCAGGAGCTCATGAGGCAATCAAATATGAAGCTTCCATTTGATCATCATGGTGGGTTTAGTGGAAGCATGCATCAAACGCAGGAATCAGGATCTGGCAGGGCACTCTTTCCTTTTGAGGATTTGAAGCAAGTACATGCTGGCAATGGAGGTCATGAAGGAGAGGAGAATGGAGTTGTGCAGCCAGAAACGGAATCAGGTTTGTTTTGGAATGGAGGGAATGGACGTGGAGGAGGAACATGGTAATTAGAGAATGAAACATGATGAGAACATGTTGTTTGCTTTGTTTTGTAGTAATGTTTTATATTGATGATGTTTGGTTTGTGTTTGAAGTAGAGTGCTTGGGGATAGAGCAGGTTTGATGGGGATGCATGGGATTTAAGACAGATATGCATTAATTATCTTCTTTCATTTCTTTTTATGAGAGTTGCTTTGGGCTTGGTGAAGCTTCTTACATGTAGGCTTCAGTAGGAGATTTGTAAATTATCTGGGTGGGATGAGACTCAGGAGGCTTGGAACCTGTGTTTTGCATGTTATTTCTTTCTTGTAAGGAGATGTTCCTACTGGTCTTAGGAATTGTATCATGACTTGATTGGTTTGGTTTCCTATGAATCACTGCTCATGCATTATGTATACAAATGACATACCTAACAGACTGACATTAATGTTAAAATTCCCTCTTCTTGTGCTTTTTGAATCCCATATAGTGGCAGAAAAGTAAGGTGGAAATACTTCTACAAAGAAATTAGCATTTTTCAACACTATTTCTGTACAATATATCATAAATAATTATGATATTTGGTTCATAATCTTATTTTATCATATGAAACTTGCACTTCTCACAAGTTTAATATTTAACATAAATTCGTGGAATGTGGGCGTTGCACTCCGCACCCCAACACACTTAAAGAATCTATCCCATTAGACAGATGCTTCCGCTGCGTTCCGCTCGTTTGCTTTGCACTGCTCTAGCATCTGTCCATTATCTATCTGGTACATGAGTCATACCTAACATTTCTTAGTATCAACATATATATATATATATATATATATATATGTTGATACTAAGAAATGTTAGGTATGACTCATGTACCAGATAGATAATGGACAGATGCTAGAGCAGTGCATAAATATAAGAGCAATATGAAACACATAAATTAAAATGATAGGTCATCATGCATCATTAATGTCTTTCATACAAATGTTGTTAAGAATTTGCTTACTTCGTATGACCTAGACTGCACTTTGGTGAAGTTAATGGTAGTGATTTTAATGAAATACAAGAACTTCCTTGGGTTTAAATAGCTCTAAGATAATTAATAGAAAATTCTTTATATTACAATGAGGAAGACCAAATAATCTTAATTATCATCATCATTCTCATTAGCATTATCTAAATTATTTGGATTTTTTTTTTTTTTTTGGTTCACTTAATGTTATATGAGTTTTTAATCTTTCATAGTCTCTAATTAAAAGACTACAAGTATTTTATTCTTTTTTCTACAAATAGAAATATATATTAGCAGGGTTCTTCATGCATTACCATAATTTATTTATTGATTATACATTTAAAATCAGTCTTATTTGTTTTTCTTGCTTTTGTTGATCGTGAGCTATACACATTAGCTCTTAGAATTCAGGTCTGACTTTGCAGCTGTGAAAGCATGGTTATGGATTTGAAACACAGGCATGAAGGCCTACACCTCTTTTACCTTCTCTTTAATTTATAAATTTTGTCCTGATTAAAATATGTGAATGGTTACGTATATGTCATGATGCATGTTACCTCCCATCATTACTCTCCCTTTCATCTGATTGGCCATAATCCAGTATCTGAGTTATATTAGCTAAGAATAAAATTAAGACCTTTTTTATTAAGCAGGCATACATTTAGCCATATCTACATGTATGGATGGATCAATATATATATATTTGGCTTTTTGGTGGTGGGGTCACTGTAAGTCCCTTTAGGTCAAGGGTTCGATCACACCGTGATGCGGGGGCTCTGTAATTTTAGGCACATGACGTGGGCTCTCATCATGGAGTCAAAAGGGCATGTGAAATCGATATCTGAGCCTCTGCCAAATATCGATTTCTTTTTGAATATATATATATATATATATATATATATATATA